ATATATATTCCCCACAAATCACAATATACTGATTCATCATCACATATCCTATCAATGAACTCTCCGAAACCTATATTATCACTCCCAAAATCCTGATCAACTGATTACCCTTCGTTGTTCCCACTATGATAAAAATCACGGAACTACACATCACCATTATTCCCATCAAAAACCTGTATGATAGCATCATCGACAAAGCTACCGATCGCATTCCCTTTACTAAATAGGAACTTCTTCTCGGTGTTTCATAACCCCATTTGGTTTCAACTATTGCTATCACATAAGATAATAACCAGTTGACCTGTAGCCATAGCGGAAATGGTACTAGTATAATGGATGTGAAAATAACCAAAAATAAGAAGTGATTTGAATCGCATTTGAGCTCAGCTATAAACACCAAAACTAGCGTGAAAAGAAGAGTGATTGAAATAAAAATGGTACGCGATACAATGAAGGTAGAGAGAAGAAGGAACTTCTGATAGATTTAATAGACAAAACTGTTACATCTAAGTTTCAATGATGACAATAGTGCAAATCTAATCGTATCTATCTGATTGCAGAAAATCAGGAAGTAGCACTACTTCAAGGGAAGTTTAAAGGCAATGATATCATAATGGAATCGAGATCAAAGGCAACATGAACAATGCTGAATCAAAGGAAGTCAAAGCAATGTCAAAGCCATCACAAAGGAAATAAAATCAGTCAAGATGTTTTAGTCTCAATCAAAGGATAACGAGGTTGTCTTAACAAGGAAACATATCAAGTGCATATGCTATGGAAATGTCAAGCCATACTTCAAGGACTAGATTAGAATCAAAAGATTGATAAATCAAATCGAAGCCATAAATCACTCCTTGAATTTTGGATATGAAAAGGGAAGGATGTAAACGAATCCAGCCCATCTCACGTGCAGGATTCGGAGGTACCCCTTGGGTCAAATCTCTTAAAAGATTATGTGCCTCAATCAAAGATCAATTTACAACGGCTATTCAATATCTCTTATAAGAAGACGAGAAACTTCGATAAGAAGAAGTACGCAACTACACAAACCGTTGTTTAAGCCTTTCTAGTTCTTAGTACAAATACTGTATTCTTGAGTCTATAAGTGTCACAAACGACAGGAAGAGTTAGAACACAAAGGAGAGTTATGTCAACATTACAAAAATCACTGTTGCTGAATATAGTTGATGGTGAACATACAAAATCATCACCATTGTAATCTTTTATCAAAGATCTAAGAGAACCCTTGAGACCCAAGGGAACTGGAGGTAGGTACCACACCAATACTGAACCAGTATAAAAACTATTGTGCCTTCTTTACCTTTCCATTTGTTTATTTCATTCCTACAGAAATTGGTTCACTNACATTCGAATCTGGGTCAGTCAAAGAGCAAGATTCAAAGAGGCATCTCTTGGGTCAAATCCCTTAATTAAATATCTTATGCCTCCCGTTTCAAAAAGGATTTAACGACTCTATTCTCAGGTATAAAAAGGTTGCTCTCTCAAGAAGAAGATTACGCAACTACAAAAAGAGTATTCCAAATCTATCTACTTCTTAGTTCAAACACTGTAATTCTGAGTTATCAGTGTCTCAAAAGATAGAGAGATCTAGAGTACAAAAGAAAGTTGTGTCACTTAATTAGAACTCAACTGCTGATTCTATATGTTGATGGTAAACACAAAAATACCATCAATCGTGTAAATTTATTCAAAGATCTTAAGGGAACCCTTGTGACCTAAGGGAACTGGATGTAAGTACCACAACGATACTGAACCAGTATAAATCGTGTGTGTCTTACTATTGCTCTTTACTGCTTTTACTCTTTCTATCTCGTGGTTCGTCAATTAATATGAGTATTAGTTGACTAAATTTTAATTAGGCAACAATTCACCCCCCCCTCCCTCGTACTTTCAATTGGTATCAGAACAAGGCTCACAAACTTTGCTTAACAACTAATGAGGAGAAGATCATGGGATCAAACATAGTTGTTGGAGCACTATTTCAAGAAGGAACCTCTCAGGTACGACCTCCATACTTCAACGGGCAACACTTTTCTCACTGGAAAGTACGTATGGAAACATACATTATGTCATATGACATTAAGGTTTGGCACGTGATAAAAAAAGGAAAATCTTCCAATTCCACCAAAGAAAGATGAAAATGGTCAAGTCATAGTATCAACTGATCCACTTGACTTAGATGACTACACCGATGAACAATCAGCCGCCATAACAGTGAATGCCAAAGCAAAAAATCTGCTGCATAATGCTATCAGTGGAGAAGAATATGGAAAGATATCAAGCTACGAAATTGCTAAGGAAATGTGGGATAAATTAGAGGCCACGTATGAAGGAACCAACAAAGTGAAAGAAACGAGGATCAATCTCCTTATTCGGGACTATAAATTATTTCAAATGAAGGATGGAGAATCAGTAGAGGAAATATTTTTAAGATTCAGCAAAATCCTTGGAGACTTAAAATCATTTGGTAGACCAACAAAAAATGGAGAACATGTCAGAAAAATTCTAAAAAGTCTTCCCACGATTTGGCAACCCAAAGTTATTGCTCTAGAATGTCAGGATCTTGGCAAGATGTCCTATGATGAACTTAGAGGTGATCTAATTGCCTTCAAGAAAACTCATTTGGACAGGAAGATTCAACAGGAAAAGAAGAAAACAGTTGCATTCAAAGCAATTGTGGCTGAACCAGAAAATGAAGAGGAAGAGGAAGGAGGAGAACAGGATGAAAACATAGCCATGCTCTCTCAAGTTATAACAAGCATGATGAGGAAAAACATAAATAGCAAGAGAGGTAAATCTAACTTCAGAAAAGGAAGGATGAATAATGATAATAATAAAAATGATTGAAGGTGCTATGAATGTGGGAAACATGAACACATTCAAGCTGAATGCCCTGAACTGAAGAAGAAACTCAGCAGGAACTTTCAAAAGAAAAAGTCTTTCGGAGCCTGGAGTGATGAAGAGGAATATGTCCATGAAGAAATTGCAAATATGTGTTTCATGTCCATAAAATAAGACAGCAAGAAGGACTCAGGTGAACATGGGCTCATGGTAGACGAAGGAACGGATGAGGAAGAAGACTCAGGTGAACTTGGTCTTATGGCAGACGAAGGAACTAGTGAGGTACGTTTTCCTACATATCCGAATTGTTATGAACTTCAAGAATTTGTTGATATTGCTCTTGCAGATATTGAGAGAGTTCTAAATGAACTCAGAAAAATCGAAAGAGAAAAGAAAGACTGGGCCTTGAAGTTAGAAGTCTATGAAATTGAGAATGATATGCTTCAAGATGAAGTTAATGAACTTCAACTTCAACTGAATGGATTGCGAAAATCCTCGAGTCATAGTTCTGTCAAATCAAATCAGATTGCTCCTCATACATCTTTGATTAGGACTAGAAATCCTACTGCATGCTCCTATTGTGGCAAAAATGGTCATAACACTAACCAATGCAGGAATAGAATCAGAGTAGAAAGAGGCTCTGAAAATCCCAATAATCCTTCTTGCTTCTATTGCGAAAAACTTGGGCACACTTCTAACCGTTGCAGGTTCAAGGACAACAGGAGATGGGTCTGGTGACCTAAATCTTCTAGTCAAGCTAAAAATCAGAAATCTAACCGTTCAGGACCCAAGAAGGCTTGGGTACCTAAAAATAAATAATATTGTTTTGCAGGAACACCGCAAGAAGAATAGAAAAGGAATATGGTATCTTGACAGGGCGTGTTCCACACATATGACTGGTGACAAACAGTTATTCAAAACAGTCACCACACTAGATGGAGGAACAGTTACCTTTGGAGATAAATCAAAAGAAAATGTAATTGGAGTTGGAAAGGTTTCTCTCAGCTCAATATGTGATGTAGATAAAGAATACATGGTTGATGAACTTGGTTACAATCTTCTCAGTATCAGTCAATTATATGACAATGACTATTAGGTTCGTTTTAAGAAACATTGTTGGTTTATAGAAGATGAATCATGTAAAGTTATTCTTTCTGGTAATAGAGACAGGAATGTCTATACTATTAGTAATGTAGACAATCTTGGTAAACAAATTTGTCTAGCATCTATGATTGATGATCCCTGGGTATGAAATAGAAAGCTTGGCCATGCTAGCATGTATACTATTCAAAAACTTTCCAAACACGATCTTCTCATTGGTCTTCCAAAACTAGATTTTTTTCAAAAGACCATATTTGTGATGCATGCCAATTAGGAAAGCAAACTCGTTCATCTTTCAAAATCAAAAACATTGTCTCTACTATTAAACCTCTTCAACTCTTGCATATGGATTTGTTTGGTCCAACTAGAACTGCCAGCATTGGTGATAGAAAATATGCTTTTGTTATTGTAGATGATTTCTCTTGTTTCACTTGGGTTAATTTTCTAAGTCATAAATATGAAGATCTAAGAAATTTTGAAGTTCTCTGTAAGAAGGCTCAACGTAAGAAAGGATACTACATTTTCACTATCAGAAATGACCATGGAGGAGAGTTTGAAAGTAGGGTATTTGAAAACTTCTGCAATGATCAAGGAATCTCTCATAACTTCTATTCGCCAAGATCGCCTCAATAGAATAGAGTGGTAGAACGTAAAAATAGAACGTTGCAGGACATGGGAAGAACTATGATTGTGGAAAACTCTCTACCCCACCACTTCTGGGCAGAAGCTGTGAGCACAGCATGTCATATTATTAACAGATGTTTGATTCAACCTATTCTCAAAAAGACTCCATACGAACTATGGAATGGTAAGAAACCCAACATTATTTACTTCCACCCATTTGGATGCAAATGCTTCATCCACAATAATGGAAAGGACAATCTGGATAAGTTTGATCTAAAGAGCGACGAAGGTATATTTCTTGGATATTCTCCCTCAAGTAGAGCATATATAGTTTACAATAAAAGAACTTTATGCATTCAAGAATCAATTCATGTTATTTTTGTGGATACTAACCCTCGCTCAGGGTGTGAAAAACTTCCTGAAAATGAGGAAATTTCTATTGTCCCAAAGTCAGTTATTGTAGGAAAAGATAGTCAAGATGAGTCGACCAGTCAGCAGAATCAGTCAACTGAGGAGCACATTAGAATTCAGGAATCTTCTTCTGCAGAACAGTCAACTACTAGGGAAAAGGAGCAAATCACAAACATTCCAAATGAATGGAAAAGATAACTAGGATATCCTCACAAATTCATTATTGGAAATCTACATGAGGGTATCACTACCAGAAGATCTCAGAAGTTAAACTCTCATGTGGCCTTAATATCACAATTTGAGCCAAAGAAGGTAGGATGAAGCCCTTAAAAATGACTATAGGATCAAATCAATCAAAGATAAACTTGATCAATTTGAAAAAAATAAAGTGTGGGAATTGGTTCCAAAACCATCAAACGCCTCCATTGTAGGAACTAAATGGGTATTTAGAAATAAGTTGAATAAATCCGGTCAAGTGGTTCATAACCAAGCAAGACTAGTTGCTCAAGGTTACTCTCAGCAAGAGGGAATCGACTACGATAAAACTTTTGCACATGTAGCAAGATTGGAATCTATTCGAATACTATTTATTTTTGTTGCTCATAAAGGATTCAAGCTCTTCATAATGGATGCAAAAAGTGCCTTTTTAAACGGATACATTTCTGAAGAGGTGTATGTGAAGCAACCTCCTGGCTTTGTAAGTGACAGCTTCCCAAATCATGAATTCAAGCTGTCTAAAGCTCTATACGGACTCAAGCAAGCTCCCCGAGCCTGGTATGAGAGATTAAGCTCTTTTCTTCTAAATCAAGGCTTCAAACGAGGTAATATCGACAAAACTTTATTTATTAAGTACTCAAATTCAGATAATCTTATTACTCATATTTATGTTGACGATATTATTTTTGGAAGTCCTGACTCTGTACTATGTGAAAAATTCTCTCACGCTATAAAAGGAGAATTTGAAATGAGCATGATGGGAGAGCTAACATTCTTTCTTGGACTGCAAATCAAACAGTCTACCAAAGGAATCTTTATCATCCAAACCAAGTACGCCAAGGAACGTATAAAGAAGTTTGGTATGGAGAATGCAAAGTCCATTGGAACTCCAATGAGTCCAACAACTACACTTGAAAAAGATAATAATAGAAAAAGTATGGATGAAACGATGTATAGAGGAATGATTGGATCTTTATTATATCTCACTGCTATTCGACGAGATATAATATTCAGTGTGTGTAAATGTGCAAGGTTTCATTCGGCTCCCAAAGAATCCCATTTTACTGCAGTCAAACGTATTATCAGATATCTTATTGGAACCTCTGAATTAGGTTTATGGTGTGCCCACTCTAACAATTTTGTGTTAAAAGGTTTTTCAGATACAGATTTTACAGGTGATAAGATTGATAGGAAAAGCACTAGTGGCACTTGTCAACTGTTGGGAAATGCTTTTATTTCCTGGCATAGCAAAAACAAAATTGTGTTGCTCTGTCAACTACTGAAGCAGAATATTTAGCTGTTGGAAGTTGTTGTACACAAGTTCTTTGGATCATGCATCAACTTCTCGATTATGATTTATCTCTTACCTCTACTCCTATATTTTGTGATAATACTAGTGCTATATGTTTGTCAAAAAATTATGTGCATCACTCTAGAGCAAAGCATATAGAAATTAAGCATCACTTTATCTGTGATCATGTTGCAATAGGTGATATTATATTAGAATTCATTAATATTGAGTCTCAACTTGCTGATATTTTTACAAAACCTCTTTTAGAAGAAAGATTTTGTTTACTGCGTAAAAAGATTGGAATTGTGCCTATTTTGTAAAATATCTTTCGTATCTATATAATATATTTTACTTCCTTACTTAAGTTTGCTTAATTGTTAAAGTGTATTAATTTTGATGTGAGCGTAATTATTACACTTCCATCGGTACCGCCGAAGCAACTCCTCAAAAATGTCACTTCTTTCTGAACCTGGCATTTTCTTAACCGAGGCAACACTTCAACCTTCCAAATGCCTAGATAAGGACAATTTTCTCCCTCTTATTCTTCATCTCCTCTGACAAAATTTCCTTACCATGGCAAAAAGAAACCTCTCATCTTCCACTGCCACCAGACAAAGCAGACGATTTCAGAAAATCCATAACCCCGAAGAAACCGTAGACCTAGAATCATTCCTCAACTCAGACTTTCTTAAAACCGACAATGAAAGCAATGAATCATCGAAGGATCTACCTATTAGCCAAAAAAGGCAGGAAAAGGCCTATGGAGCAAACCCCCAAAAAGCCTGCATACAAGAAAGGGAAAGTGGAAAGTACAGATTTTGGGCCAGAGGACAAACTAAACTTCTATGGACCAAGTGAGAAATCAAGGTTTGAGTCCTATAAGTCAAAATCTCTGGCTTATGGACGCTCTGTAAGTCTTTCTCTTATGAAAAATTTGCACTGTGATGTGATTGCTATTTTTGACTTTCAACGTCTCTCTTATCTGTTTGATACTATTAAAAATTATGGGTATGAAGAGCCTGTGAGAATGTCCTATGCAAATCTGTTTGTTAATGAAAAAGATGACTTGGAATCCATGATTTTAGGTACTCGAATTATTCTTGACTCATATCAATTGAGAAAATATTTTCTGCTAAGTTTCATGGGTATGATGTTTTTGTACAAAATTCCTGGCCAAAAGATATTGAAGTTTACTTAGAAGAGGCAAAAGTTTTCCTGTCGGATAACCCCCCTGACATCGGTTCTAAAAATCTCAAGTTTGAACACCGAGTTTTAGCACACAAGATATCCACCACTTTACTTTCTAGAACTGGGTCCCTCAGTACTTTGACTACTAGAGATATTTTTGTTCTTTACTGTCTTGTGAACAATAAAAGACTTGACTGGTTTGTGTGGATTCGTCGGTATATGCTTGAACGTATCAGGGATATATCCTCTTCTGCTGCTTGTCAACCCTATGGTTTGCTCATCTCATATATTCTTGAAGTTATAAAGGTTTATTTAGCACATTTATCACCCCAAGCACATTACTAGTACCTATGATAAGACTGTATTTGCTATGATGGGTTACACCTTAAGTGACGACGGATGGGTCAGGCGTGCCAAAGTTGAAAATGTTCCAGTACAGGTTGAAGCTCCCATTGAACCAACAGAGACTCAGTCGATTGCTACTACCAACCTATAGGAGATTCAGCAAAATATAGATAAGGTAAAAATCCTTCTCATTGCAATGAAAGAACAGGTGGACAAAATCAGGGAAGTCACCAAGGAAACATGTACAGATGTGGCTAAGCTCATGATGGATATGGGAGCCACGAGGAGGCAAGGGATCAGGGCATTCAACTCCGTGATAGAAAAGATGGACAAAATCACCAAAGAAGTTGAAACCTCCTATGACTCCTTCTACACCAAAGTGATCAATACCCTGAAGTACTTTCTGGGGAGAAACTAAGGCAGTGCATGTGTGTTAAAAATAATATTTTTTGCTTTTTTCTATTTTGTGACTTATTTATGCATTAGTCTATAAGAACCATCACTTTATGCCTCTGCTTAAGGCATAAACTCTGCTACCCTCACTAGTCTGTTTATTATCTATCTATTATCTACTCTATTGTGTATGTTTTGTCTGCATTTTCTTTCCTTTTANGGGGGCAGTGTTGTGCAAATTTAAGTAACAACTAAGGGGGATCAGGCATCTATCTGATTGCAGGAAATCAGGAGGTAGCACTACTTCAAGGGAAGTTCAAAGGCAATGATATCAGAATGGAATCGAGATCAAAGGCACATGAACAGTGCTAAATCAAAGGAAGACAAAGCCCTGTCAAATCCATCAAAAAGGAAACAAAATCAGTCCAGATGCTTTAGTCTTAATCAAAGGATAACGAGGCTGTCTCAACAAGGAAACATATCGAGTGCAGCTGCTAAGGAAATGTCAAGCCATACTTCAAGTTCTAGACTAGAATCAGAAGATTGATCAATCAAATCGAAGCCGCTCATCACTCCCTGAATTTTGGATATGAAAAGGGAAGGACGTAAACGAATCCAGCCCATCTCACGTGAAGGATTCGGAGGCACCCCTTGGGTCAAATCTCTTAAAAGATTATGTGCCTCAATCAAATATCAATTTACAACGGCTATTCAATCTCTCTTATAAGAAGACAGGCAACTTCGAGAAGAAGAAGTAAGAAACTACACAACTATTGTCTAAGACTTTTTAGTTCTTAGTACAAACATTGTATTCTTGAGTCTACAAGTGTCACAAAAGACAGGAGAAGTTATAACACAAAAGAGAGTTGTGTCAACATTACAAAGATCATTGTTGCTGAATATCGTTGATGGTGTACATACTAAAACCATCACTATTGTAAATCCTTTATCAAATATCTAAGAGAACCATTGTGACCCAAGGGAACTGGAGGTAGGTACCACACCGGTACTGAACCAGTATAAAAACTATTGTGCCTTCTTTACCTTTCTGTTTGTTTATTTCATTCCTACTGAAATTGATTCACTATGCAAAACCTAGTCGACTAAACTAACACTTAGTCAACCAAGATTTTAATTGGCTACAATTCACCCCCCCCCCCCCCTTTGTACTTTCAAAAATGAGGTTGATTTGTGTTAGTAGCCATAGCCATTAACGAGAGAGAAAGAGAGAGTAGATTGAGAGAGAATTGAGAAAGATGAAGAACAGATTTGAGGGAAAATTGGAAATGCAAATCATGCATTTTCTATTCACTAAACACTTTATATATACAGTAAATTAAATAAAAACTAACCACCTAACCATAACTAAATTTTAACTACCTAACTACACATTTAAAAACCTAACTACAGTTAAGTTTACTTTCTAACTAAGGTTAGTTATCAGCTTGTGTCTTAGTCTAGCCAACACTCCCCCTCAAGTTGATAATCTGAACAAGTTCTCGACTCTAAGCTGGTTCAGTAAGTGATGATGTTAAGTCTTCCCTAAACTCTTGGTAAACAGATCTGCTAGTTGATCTTCACTATGAATATGTTCAGGTCGTATCAGTCCTTGGCTAATTCTTTCCCTAACAAAATGACAGTCTATGTCGATGTGCTTTGTCCTCTCATGAAATATAGGATTAGCTGCTATTTGTATTGCAGCTTTGCTGTCTGATATTATCTTCACTGGTATCTAAATGTTGACTCCAAGTTCTTTAAATAAGCC